CCCCCCCCCCCCCCACCCCTCTCTCTTTCTCTTTCTCTCTCGTTCCTTTTTTCTTCGCGCGACGTGAATCACGACGTCGCTCGTCTCGATTCATCGCCCGCCTTTAGCGAGTAATTTAGCGTGATCGGATCGAACGAAAGGAAATCGCTTGAGAATTTCATCGGAGGCTAATCGTTCGTTCGTTAAGAAGAACAACTTGTATTAATGTTAATCGTTTTCCATTTTTGCTCATATACTGGAATCATGTGAGTATTTTATACTCAGATAATAACACAGAAAAGATTCTTAAATGAATCATATATAAGTATTATAATCTTGCTTCAAAGATCTCAGTCTTGATTTGATTGAATTTGTATTGATGTAATTTTTGATTAGGCAAGTCTTGAATTAAATGCAAAATAATACTTGCATCAACAGAGGATTTAATCGAATCAAGAATATTTGAAACAAGATTATAATATTTCTGCTTGTATATATTATATATATGAGTACATTGTAGTTGATTTAAAAATAATTTTTTTCCGTGTGTATTATATTTACTTCGTTTGGTGATCAAGTTATCGCATAACAACACGGGTACATAATCTCACTTTTAATATGAGTTAACAAGACTCATGCCCGTTTCTATCAATGTAGTTTAGTTTTAATTAACTTGGTTCAATTATCTCTTTATTTTTTTTCTAAATAATTTCAAGAATTAGAAAAAGATGAAACGCAAATTGAACCGAGATTAAAGTTAATCTATACTTTGGTAGGTATAGAAACGGGCATCACGCGGTGAAGTATATACGCGTCTCGAGTTTACGTAGATTGTAAGCAAAAAATCAATTGCGAATTCCCACTTGTCAGAATACAAAGGAACGTGCATTCAACTGAGTCATATAACGTCACAAACGAGAATTATCTGAGTTTTGATGTAAATGGAAAGCAACTATATGTGTGTGTGCGTGGTTGAAAACGTGCCTCGAGGAATTGAAAACGATAAACTACACGCTTCGTCGAGGACCACGTGGACTCGTCGGCGGCGACAAAGGCGGCGGCCGATAAACGTTGAATATCAGCTGAAATCCTCGCACTACACGAATGCATAAGAAATACCGTTACGATGAGAATGCGACGACTGCCGGGTGTGTAT